CCTTACGATTTCTTGTATCCAAAAGTTCTCCGCCAAACTAAGTTAATTTTCCCGTAGATCATAGCATGGAAATTTTTCAGCAAATATTTTTCTGTACATTTGTGTCTGATACTAACTTACGGTAAACTTATCACCTTAGTCTGTAAATTGAGTGACTCACCAACACATCCAGGCAGGACAGTTGTGACCTGTCACGGCCCGAATATTGCCCGCATTGCTCGGCCAGTAGTTTATTTAGCCTGTTCATTGTGAGCTGTGACCCGTTGAATAACACATGCCTGCCTCCCACTCATTTCCCCCGCCCCCCTCGCCTTAAGAATTAATTGCCGTTCATAACTGACTCACCGGTCAGACGCACCGGTCAGCCACAGGACAGTGATGCCGCAGTGACAACGCACAAAAATTATGGCCTATTTACATCCGCGTACGAAATAAAGTCGGTCAGCCTGGATTTTAAAGTTACGCACCGACAGTGGCGCTTATGGAGGATCAAAATTCGACATGTTCACAGACGATGTAAGTAATACTGTTGTATGCTATCGTGCTGCGGAAAAACGCCGTATGAGCCTGTAGTTCTTGCCAGATTTCCTTTACTAAAAACCAAATTTACAGGAAAACTTATGAATTTTTTTTTCCCATTTTTCAGATACTTTTGTTTGTAATTTGATTCAGCATATCTGAAAATTTCACGGGAAAATATGCATAACTTTCCTCAAAAATACATGTTTTATCCGGAGACATTGAGTAACTCTCGAATGTTCATACGGCGTTCTTCCATAACACGGCAGTATATACTGCCGTGCTATAGAAGAGCGCCGTATGAACATTCGAGAGTTGCCAAATTTCCTTCGATAAAATGTTTATTTTTGAGGAAAGTTATGAATATTTTTCCTTGAAATTTTCGGGAACTTTAGGTGAAATTGCGTAAAAAATTATCTGAAATAAAAATATTCATAAATTTACCAGGAAATTCGTGTTTTCTCAAAGGAAATTTGGCAACGCCTGAAGGTTTATACGGCGTTTTTTCTTAGCACGGTAGTATGGATGTTCGTCTCTCGGATGGAGAGTACGCAGTGTCGTCTGATATTCCGCGGAGTTGGATTACATGAGCATGGCAATGCAACTGAGTCATCTTCTTCTTTAGTCGGTTGTCTGACTTTAAGGGTGTATCGCAATTTCAACGTGAGCTCCGGAAATCATGGAGTCATGCGGCCAACAGGGCTCACGCGGAGATTGAGGTATGTCCTTACGTCAGAGGAGTGACGTATTGTGTCTGATGATTCAACTATTAAGCACATTGCCCGAGGTCCTGTCGGCGTGCCCGGCTCCGTGAAGTGAAGTGGGGGATCACATTTATAGGGACAAAGAAAAATTAACGGTTGTTGCGGAACTAGGTCTGTCTCTTCGTTTCTCGACGAGTAAATGAAAAGATTCGTTTGTATGTTCACTGGAAAAAAAAACACATTGGATCTAGAGCCCAGACTCTTGAAAACATTGACAAGAAAAAATACTCTTGGTTCAATCAGATTTAAGCTTAAATCAAAAGGAAATCCGCTCAAATTAAGAGGCTTGGTTCTTGATTTAAGCAAAAATCCGATTGAATCAAGAGTATTTTTTCTTGTCGATGTTTTAAGAGTCTGGACTCTAGATCCAATGTATTTTTGTTCCAGTGTTTGGCTAAAGTTTGAGATTAATAGAATAGACTACAATAGAAAAAGAATAGAGAAAAGAATACATAGCTTTCTATGCCACCAAAGAATTCAAAACTAAATTTTTCAGAAAGTGACTGTATCAAGATTTGTAATATTTGGACGTTAACGAAAAAGAAAAATCCCGAGCACTAATGCCCATGAAATAAGATCGTATAGTAATCAAAAATAAATTAAAAAATATGGAGAGAATATATGGGGGAAAAGCTATAGTCAATAATAAAACAAACATATCGCACGTTGATAAGATCGCAGGGATCCTTATCAACACATTGATATTCCATAGGATTTAAGTTTCTTCTTCGTGTAAACACCTCTCGATATATAACAAATTCAAAAAGTCTAACTCTTTACGGATGGGACGGTTTTATTTCAATTGATTTTTCTCAAAATATACATACAAGATCGTCAAATATGATTCGAATAATGTTTTAAAAAATGAGGTTCTGTTCAGAGGGAAGGATTAATCTCAAATGGTATTGAGTGTAGCATCACGCGTCTGTCCTAAATTACATATATGTTGCTGATCGATCGCGATATAAAATCAACCATTACCGGTGCTCGCGTCCGTTGTAATAAACTACGTATCGCCATCTGAATAGTGACGCCTTGTCACCTATTGTTTCATTATTTACTCAATTTAGTTTCACTCTTCGCCGAGTGAGTGCGTGACGGCACGTGCCTTGGTGGAGCAACTTTTCTTAATTGGCAGATTTTCACGCTTGCGATCTCAAGAGGCTCTTTTATACCTTTTATATCTATTTGGAGTGAGATACACGTCTCCCCTTAAGAAACTTAAGCAAGAATTAATAGAAATAGGTAACGCCTCATAATATACGTGAACGACACAATGGAACGGGACAACAAAGAACTATGATGAATCAACGTATAATGAGGAACAAACTTCGAATATCAGTCAAACTCTGATTATATAGATATGCTAACAAATTTTTGGCTCTTTTTCCTAACATTTTCGAACGCCACGACCTGATTTTTGCGAAGATGACTAGAATATTGAGTATCAAACACAAGTCTCCGATAAACACGAAAAACTATTCAAAGCACTGACTGCTCGGTGTCTTAAGATCGGAAAGTTATGGCATGGACGGAAAATTGTCGTAGCTTGACTCTTTAATTTTTCTAAAATGCTAAAAATCCAATTCTTTAGAATTTTATGAACAATTTAAAACGATATAAATCCAAGAATCATGAGAACTTCTTAACATTCTGCTTCCTACACTAGTCCCAGAATTATAAATGTTAAGTTTTTCACCCACAACACATATGGCACGTAAGAAAGAAGTCAAAACCAAAATGCAGTTTCCGCCAGTAAGCCCCGCCCTAAGTTGTACGCTATTGATACATTACCGATACGATAAATTCGGCTAAAGCGACCTAGTCTAAAGCTCAAAGCTTGACCTTCAATTAAGGTTTAATCTATCAAGGATGAACGCTCGTACGTTTCCGGCCTTCGTTTGAGAAAGGTTGTCAGATTTCAGTCGACTGCGAACTAAGATGTTCTATTCTATTTCACAGATAGATGAATGAATTAAACGCTATTTGGACGTTTTTATGCTATACACAACTATGTTACACGCAAACTCCATGCACATAGTTCCTTTTAGCATAAATACGCTCATTCGATCAGGGCCGGATTTACCTACTTGCCGCCCATGGGCCGCCTGTATTTTGCCGCCCCCTTCTCATTCGTTTTGAAACATCAATAAAAACAATCAAGTGAACGTGCTGGAGGGGGAGATGAGAGATGCATAAGACGCGCTTACTCGTGTTAGACACATTTTCTGCAACACTACTGGCAAAAGTTCACGGAACTTTCCGCGACAGTTAAGTTCCGTAAACCTATCTCTGTGTGGACAAGGCCTTCCGTTTGTAAGAAATGAACGGAAAAAGTATGCAAGATCAAACATAAATGTGGTTTAATAATTGTAAATTCCGCCGCCGCGCCGCTGTGACCGCACTGTGTTTGGCGCAATGCGTGAAGTATTCCTGCAGTCTTGTAGGCGCTACGCGTTTCCCGCTGACCGCACTGTGTTTGGCGCAATGCGTGAAGTATTCATACAGTCTTGTAGGCGCTATACGTTTCCCGCTGACCGCACTGTGTTTGACGCAATGCGTGAAGTATTCATGCAGTCTTGCAGGTGCTAAAATGTGTTACATGCCGACCGCCACGCTAAGGGCTTCTCCTTTTCATCTCAAGTCCCCACCATCATTGCTCTCTGCGCCGCGTCTCTGCATGCCAAATTCCGTGTTCGGTTTCTCTCTTAACTCGCCCTTTTAAAGGTGCTGTCTCTTGTGTCACCGAAAGACGCTTTTCTCGTTTGTATTTTTTTTTTTTCTGAATCCAATTATTTATGCCTATATTTAAAAAAATTGCAAAATTTGCCTCCCCCCTAAATTTGCCAAAATGGGCCATGGCCCATGCATGTGGCCACCCTCTTAATCCGGCCCTGCATTTGATCTATGCCCTCTGTTAGATTACCTGCTGAAGTAACGCATTAGCCGTTCTTTCGATACAAAAAGTAAAATTCAACATTTAATAATATAAATCCGGTATAAAACTTGAAATCATCTGGACCGAGGAATTCAATATAAATCTGGTTTTTAGCAAAAAATATCGTTTTAAATTCGACTCCACTTAAACCCTATCATCTCAATATTGGTGGTAGTGATTGACAAAATATTTTGGCCGTATGTGTACATAAACATTTGGAATGAGGAAAAATTGTAATAGTATTTGCGTTTTTATGAGCCTATAAATCATTGCAATAGGATTCTGCGACGCAGCTATTCTGATCCACTATTTTTTAGTTGTGAGCAGTGAGCACACTTAATTTATATTTCGATAGCGAAAGTTAAAAAAAACAGTGATATTAATTGTAATGTTTTAGAATGTCTGTCGTTGTTAATTTTTTTTTTTTTTCGAGACAAACTCGACTGTTTGTTGCAATGAGAAACTAAAATATTTGGTTCAGATAAATGCTTCTGAGGATGGTTCAGAAGTTTTAGTTCCTTATTGCAAAATGACGTCCAACTGATGAACATCATCGTTTGATACTTTGCCAGAGTACTTTGTGCCTATGGAATGAAGAAAAACTAGTAAAAAGGTTAAGAAGCAGAGCCCTTCAGTTTCCTTTAGACAAAGGAAAACGAAAAATCTGCAGTTTTCGCTAATGGAATTATTCATTTTACAATATAGATTCCTTCATTTGGACCAAATTTCGCGATAAGGAACTATGATTTCTGCTCTTTACAATGTAGAAGAATACTCACCATTTCTGCCAACGGGGACTACATAGGTGAGATCGCTGAATTCTATGTCAACCGGAGGCCTTTTGAGAACGTGCCGTCGTGTGAGTGGGGGTGTGCCCGGGGGGATTGTGACCAAAGTCGAGGGAGGGCTGGCGCTCCCCCCATTTACCCCATTCTTCCCGTTCCCCACCCCGGTATCAGTCCGCTCCTCGAGCTTGATACCTGTATCCATTTTAACCTGAGTTCACACCTGGAACACAAACAAAAAACAAATTAGTGATGTACGTTTAATCTTATTCTATAATGTAAAATCATAAGAGTCGCACGTTTAACGCATAGCGCCTGAGGCGCGAGGCACTTCGAAGGGTTGAACCGCGAAGCGGTTAAGGGGCTTAGCCCCCTAGTTTAGTAAGTATGCTTTACAACCGACATATGGGTAAGATCGGATCCTGCACTGAGAAGGAGACGTCGATATGGTCAGGAATGAGACGACTACCTACTTACAGAGGGAAAAAAGTGTTCCTAAAGTTTTTGCCTTTTGTAAGCACTCTCCTTCGGAACCGAACTTTTGTTCAGTAATCAAAAGGCTTGTTCATCATTCTGTAACCGTTTGAGTATGGTTTGGTAGAGGGTTCAAGTTTTCAAATTAGTCGATAAGAAGAATTATAAAACGCTTTCTCGTTAAAATTTCTCGTAAAACACGATTCGTGCAACAAATACGATTAAAAGCGCGTATCCGAATGATTACATTTGTATTTTGTATCCTATCCAGTGGTCCATTGCACTAGGTGTGATATAAGTTGCTTCCCACACACACACATATATGTACATGGGTATTTTTCTCAACAGAACGAAAAGAAAACAAGGAAATATTTTTCCAGAGAAATTGAAATAAACTGTCCTGACCCTCAACAATTTATCGTTAGTTTGTCATTAAACTCATCAGAAGTGCCATTTTATCAAAATTAAAAAAGTTTTGCGGGGCAGCCAAAACTTATAAAAATTTTAGAAAACCCAAATCGTTGGGAAAAATTGGCAGGGATTCATTATCACTAGAAGAAGAAAGTCCTTAAAATTTCTGACTGGAAGAAAATACTCGTGGTGTTAAAAAATTAATTAATTACGCTAAGTGATATTTCAGCTGTTGGCAACGAAATATTTCTCGGCGTAATCGAAATCTTACGGCTCCTCAGTGTGTAAACGACGTAAAAACATTTCTTGAGGTATGTGCGCGGTAAATTAGTATAGCTTCTTGAATAAAGAAACAACGTGTAATTGACGACTATTCCAAATGCTATATACGACCCATTAAATCTATTTGGGCCATAAATATGGAAAATCGTTATGTAACAGCCCGCGCCTAAGTTTGATTTCAATTTTCTTCCTTGGATAAGACTTTGGCTCTACGATCAGTTGCTTCAGAAAATGAACTAGTGACTGATTTTTTGCTCCATAAACCGAAGGCCAAACACGTTAACCATGAACTTGGAATGGCCTCATAAAGGCAGCCGTCGCTTATTTACTTAATTGATTTTTTTCTCCCCTGCATGAATAATTGAATGATGCAATCATGCTTTTCCGCACCGCGCTATATGAAGCTTTTATTTCGTTATTCATATTTTCACCGACTTTCTTCTCAAACCTGTCTATTCCAATTAAGTATAACGTATTTACTCCCGACAAAATTCTAAAAAATAAGTATCAAACCGGTTTTTAGACCGATTCAGAAAATCATTTCGGTTGACAGTTCTATCCAGAGTTCGAAACTCACAGGCACCAACGCGCCAAGTGCGCCTAAGAAAGAGGAAATGGCGCCTGAAAAATAAAGGCTCTGCGCCAACATGACCCCTAAAAATCCCCCCCCCCTTCCCTAAGAGAAAAATCCTAAGATTTCTGCTTGGTGATTTTTCGAAATTTCTCCCAAGTTACAGCTATTTGCTCCGTAACTAAAACATCTTGCGTCTAACATTTCACTGAATGCGCCGTAATATTTAGGCAAAAAGTCAGTTTGGCCCCTGAAAAATCTTCAACGGCCCCTAAAAATCGAGCTTGATGATCGAAACTCAAAGATGTGTTTCGAACGCTGGTTCTATCTATATCCCCATGCTTTTTTGATTTCGCTCCGAGGTTTGTGTAAACGCAAAATTTATAAGATGGTGAGTTTTGATGAACGCGTTCAATTACGTTCCTAGGACTTCAATATAAATACAAAGAGAATTGAGAAATTTTGTAGGATTGGTAGCCTTACTTCGATGATCTTCCAATCAAATTTTGAAAATCTGTATATTTATGCAACGATAAGAACCGCGGGAAACCGTAACGCGTGCAGCCATGCATACAGGTTACGACGTTACACGGGCCTCCACCAATCCGCACGTTTTTGCACCGTTGGTCGGCCGGAGAAGATGCGAAAAGCAGCGTTCCTTCCTTCCACCCGTGGGATGGAAAAGGACGAGAAAGTCGGCTGTTTTACGTAATCGTCGAAACAACAGCTACGTCCAAGCTCATTCTGACGGGATCGCTGTCGAACGGGGTTGTGGGGACGCCGTGAAAATTCCCATAAATTCCATGCCGAGCCGTGCGGAAAAGAGGAGATTCTATCCGAGTTCGGCAACGCTGCATCAAGACAGTCGTGTCCCGGCCTGGCAGCTTTTCCGCGCGCCCGAGCGAAATAATCGCGGGGGACATGCACACGAGACGTTGCAAAATTTGTCTATTAAATGAATTTAGCAAATAAGAGCCAGCGCGATTACAGTGTTTTCAAAATTGTGCAACTTCTTCTTTCCTTTTAAAGATACTCGATATATGTACCGTATTCACGTTTACACAATTATTTTCCTTTGAAATTGCTAATTACCTATTTGGTGGGAAGCAAAAAGAAATTTGCTGTTCTGGGAAATTTTGTAAATGATTATGGAGAAGCAATATTTTTACAACACTGTAATCGCGCTGGTTCTTTTTTGCTTAATGCGTGATGGTGTCTATGTGTGTTTTTTTTTTAGTGCACTATTTGTAGAAACCTCGGAGTGAAATAGCATCACCCTTTGATATAATATCTTAAATAATTAACAAATGATCGAGATAAAAACCGTAAAAAACTGTTGTAAACACATAAAAACCAGTACATTTCGGGGCGAGCAAGTACCGACCCCTACTTCAACGGATAAAATTAAAATACAAATTAAAACCTTAAAAACTACCTCCTCTTTATCTCGATAAAAATGCTTCCTTATCGAAATTTTTCAAAAATCAATATGCTCTCCTTCACGCAAGACTGATTTTCTCAGGGCGAAAAACAATTTCACTCGCACTAAGTGTAGTTTGCGTTAGTATAGGTTGTTTTATCGCTCTGTCTTTTGGGACTAGTAAATTTTCGATACACTTTCGATAGTGGAACCTTTGCATTTTCAAAAGTTGGCAATCGCGCAGAATGAGACAATCAACGCTCCCGTAATGAGTCATTGCAAAGCGTAAAGCTCAAAACTAGGTTGGCTTTCCACCGCTCACTCCCCGATGAACGGCAATGAGTAAACATTGAGGATCTTATGGCGCACTCTCAGTCATGCACCGCGGAAAATTACCTAACCTGCGGTTCACTCTGCGCCTGTGGTTTGATGGATGACAGTCAGATTTTTCCCGAGCAAGTTGGTTGTTGAACCGGGAGACCGTAGTCATTTCAGACCCCTTCTTCATCAGAAGTGGCGAATATATTTTCTGTAACGCAGCGGAACTTCGAGCGGCTAAGGCCAGGGATAAAATAAGTACTCCAGAGACCATAACGTCAACAGTGCATGTCATTACAATTGGACATAACATTGATTTATGGTAAAATTAACGATTTTGCGGTGATAAACGCGTGAATTATCGTTGTCATGTATGTTGCCTTCCATGACTCCGCAAATTCTCTGCAGCGAGAGGCAGTTAAAACGCTGAACCGTCAATTTATTTTATGCCTATCTGTTATTATTTCTCCTTTAAAAAATTCCGCCACCCACACCCCGTGTGTAATAGACTAAAAGCTTTGCGAACATTATCGCGCTGTAATCGTCACGTCAGGTAACTATGTGAATGCTGGCAATGATATTGCCTTGTCGTAAGGTCAACATGAAAAGATAGAGTACACGCATTATCTGTAAGAGCGCACACGAAGAAAAAAAAGTATGGTGGCGGTTACACAATTTTTGGTATATAATTCGCGAGAAATTTAATACTGTGCATGGCTTTTTTCCTGACAGTATCTGCCAAACGGCTGATACTGTCAGGCAAGTTACTTGCCTCGTGTTAACATGCGCGGGGAGATTTGTCAAATATTCGGCACTTGGGCGCGTCGTCAGGGGCTGACTTAGTCATTTCGGAGGAAATTAGCAGCTATAGGAGTTGCAACCATGAGTGGAGGAAGAATCTGACGGTGTGAAATTTCCAAGTTAGTACCTGCAGATATCTGGTAAACTTCACGCGAAACTTAAAATGGCCTTTGCGTTGTCATGTTGCGCGATTTTTTGGTTGAAAACTAACAACAAACATTCTACTTATCGCTATGAGGGCAACCTAAAAAGGCGGGAAATATGGCATCGTGTTGGATAAGAGGTCTTTTTGACGTTGCTTTTTTTATTGAGAAACTGCGTGGGGGCTATTTTAAGTTTCATGTGAAGTTGTGCATAACTAGGATGACTCACCTGCGTCAGATTATGCATTTCCTTCAGCATACATTTTTCAGCAGGGAAAAAGGTGCAAATTTCATCCCCAGATTGCAAGGTAAGGTATGAATCTCAAATTTTGCCGCTGCGATTTTTTAGCCATTTTCCACATTTACGACAGTTTTTCTCGTGCATCGTAGGAAAAACTTCAATAAAGTCAAGGTGTTTGAAATCCATCAATAAACTTCCACCCGAGCCTTTAAGTTGCGTCAGATTGAGTCACACTAAATATTGGGATTATTTTCGCTCATGATAAAAATCGCACACGCGGTCACTGGTTAAGTCTAGGATCGCACGTTTGTAGAAAAATATCACGCAGTTTGTCTGGGCGTCCATCCCATTCCGCAAAAAGGGGCAACTCATCTCAAAAGAACAAAACCGGTTTTTATGCAAATGGGCACTTTAAATATTTTCCTTTTCTCGCTGTTCCGTCCCAAGCGTGTCAAATCTAAAAGAAAAACATTTCTCTGAGAACATTCCTACACTTTTACTCTCTTTCTCCATATCTCATCATAGGTAATGATTAATAGAGAAAAGAGATGGACATATTTAT